AGTAAAAAACAAAACAAAAATATGTGGCATGGAAAGGTTAAATATAACAAAACATTTAACTACAGGAACACTGGTTATAATCAATCATAGTAAAAAACAAAACAAAAATATGTGGCATGGAAAGGTTAAATATAACAAAACATTTAACTGAAAAAAGAAGCTATCTGTAGAGTGCTTTTTTCAGTGGACCTTGGTCAACTGACTACTCGACTTCCATGTCGTTAAGTGGCACAGAGATATACAACTTTTGATTGATGTTCATGACAATGCAGCTTCCTTCCAGGTCGGATGGAGGCACAAGGTGAAATATTTTAGTTCTTTTGTACTGGCACACATTTGGAACCTCTACATCTGGAATAAGTGTTTTGAACCGCATGACCACTTTTGCTTTTTGGATAAGGGCAAAAATTTGGCTGGCACAGGAACACTTGTCAGCACATTCACATACATACAACCTCAGAAAAGTTTGAACAAAGCCAATATTAGATTCATTATTGCACTTGTATTTTGCAGCAGTGGAGTCACGGCAGGTTGACACATTACTTGAAGCAGCAACATATACATATCTTCCTCTTTTCAGGCACTTAAACTTCAGCATCTTCTTATAAAAAATATTATTTGACTGTAAAACTTTTCTTGTAGCAAGAGGTATATCTTCTTCAGGGAATGTTTCACATTTACCAATAATTGCTGATCCTTCAAGAACTTCTGCAGTTTTGTGCTTCCTTCTGTCCATAACATTTTTGCAAAATGTCTTACTACTTGAATCTGGGAGTTCAGATACTAATTCAGGTAGATTTAAGACAAGCTGGACAGATGTGGCAATTTGTTTCTCTGCCCATCTAGTACCATGGACCAGTTTTAAAATGACCCCATTGATGCTTTCAAGGGGAAAACAGGAAGACACCCAAGCTGGTCCTAGATTAGCTACAGTTTGAGGTAGGTGCAATAGCAGATGCACATTCATAGTCATCTGATTGGGGTCATAAAAATCTGAATATTGTGAAACATACTTCTTTAAGAGAGAGCCAGCAATATCAAGCGACTGTGATGTAACAGTATTGGCGTTCAGCAAATGGCTTGCCGCAACTAAGGAGCCATGGTGCTTTAAATAGCTATCAGGAAGAACACCATTTAGCACAGGCAATGAGTAGTCATTCAACCACAGCTTTAATTCTGATGTTTTCCAGTAACTGACATCATTTAAGGATCTTGGACATCGTACAACATGCATGGGTGGCTTAATACTCAGCAACCTTTCGTCCAAGACTTTTTGATGCTGAGAAATGCTCCATTTTTTGGCTGGTGCTTTTGTTGACAGTAGATTCTTCAATACCTTCTTGTTTACGCCTCCAAAAAGTTGATGCATTACATCAATTCCTGTACCAACTACATAATTGGACATCACTGAGTCTAATGCACAAGGACCTTTAACTCCTTTAGTGGGATGGAGCTCTGTCCCAGTGTTGCCATACATTCTCATATTTTCCAGCGTACGGATTTCCATTTTATCTTCATCAAAAGGAAAGAGTCGGACACCAGGGCAGCCAGGTCTTGGTTCACCATCCTGTTCGCACACTTGGCAAGAACAGGCACCATTAAATTGAGTCATGTTTAACATAAGACTTCTCGCCGGTGTGTCACCTGTACCGTTTAAGATTTCTGCTCTTATGTCCTTCTCTCCTTCACCAGCCACCTCAAACTTCACACCTGCTTTAAGCTCTTGTAAGTCATCATGTACTTCCGATATCAAGAGGTTACTCGGCGGTTTCACAGTGCCACACCATATAAGTGGCACTAATAAGTTCTCCTTCTTGAATCGTTTCGAGTAGGGAAGTTCATTGATTGAAAAGTACAAAGGCCAGACATTCATCTTCGATGAAGAAAACAGGGCAGCTCCATCAGTGTACCACTGCAGGGTGAGAACATCTTGTCCTAGGACACCTTTGCTTTTTAGGTCTTGATAGAGTTCACCATCATATACATCACTGTAATGTCCAGGAACATGATCACAATTGAATTTAAGCATATTGTAAAATCCAGTTCTTTTCAGCATGGCTTGAAGTTGTTGTTGCATAGATAATTTTACTATGTAACAAATTTTACTATTCTTACATGTTGCACACTTGGTCTTTGCAGGCAACTCAACAAAACACTTTGAACAATAATATTTGAAAATTTTGGGTCCTTGAATGTATGAAAAATAATTTTTGAAGGCTGATAAGGAAGTCTTGAAGATGTTGTCAGCAGTCTTGGGCAGGTGTAAAAATATTAAATCAAAGAGAGCTTTAATGCAAGCACCACTCAGATGAAAACTCAAGCTGAAGGTAAGGATGGCAATTAGTGACTCATGAAAAGTTATTGGAGCTCCGTTGTAGAGAGGAGAATTTCCATTCTCAGGGACAGTTTCCTGGTAGTCATAGTCCTCCGGATTAAATTCATGGTCTTCATCTCCTACAGTCATTAATGAGATCAGTTCACTGAGCTCCTGCTCTGGCTGGAATTCCCAATTCTCTTGCACTGCTTCATTTGATACTGTTATATCAGGGTTAAACTCCAATCCCGTACTGAGATCAAAGTGCAAATCTGCTTGACTTTGTGTGGCACAAGTAGGTTGTTGTTGTTGTTGTCCACATAATCCCAAACTTTGTTCAGAAAGTCTTGATGGAAACTCTTGGTTAAGCAGCAGCGGAGACTGAGTTTGAGGTAGCACTAACTGTGGCTCGTGAGAAACCAATACTTGATGAGAAGGTTGAACTTGTGGAGTAAGCGGTTCAGCACAAGGTTGAGAGAACTCAATAGCACCACCTTGAGTGAAAACTTCAGATGATGCAGGTTGGAATTGAACTGAGGCTGAAACAGAAAAATATGTCAATAAATAAAAGAAACAGAAAATCAATTCATTTATATTTTCTACAACTGTAAACTTACTGGGGGCTGTCAGTTGGTAAAACGGCTCAAAAGCTGGTTGAAGTTGTATTGGCTCCCTACGAAAGCCACAGAAACTATCACTGACAGGTTGAAAAAATGAAGAAGCTGAAACAAAACAAAACTATAAACAGCAGAAGATAACAATAAAATAATGACAGTATTAATTTGGAACGTGACATTACCAGGGGGTTTCTCTGCTGAATTAGGAACATTGTGTTCTGATTGCGATTCTCTTTGTTCAAATTCAGCCGTGGCAGCATCTGTGAACAAATTTAACAAATAATATGACGAGAAACTATCAGATGGCTCAACATATAAATTCAATACAAAACAGAACTCACCAGATCTTGCATCTGAAGAAGTATTCTCATCATCCATGTCTTAAGGGGGCCTTTCCAACCTGAAAATAGCATAAACGAGTATTTATTATGTGACAATAAGCAACAAACCATTGAGAACAAAGTATGTTGTATAAAGGAAATTTACCTTGGTCTTTTAGGGGATCAGATTGTCCATGCAGGAGTGTCAATGTGTGTGGGAGATGTGAGAGAGACAGATATAGTAGTTTCGGTGGTGATCATAAACTTGACAACCTCGGTTGAATTCAAAAGCAAAAGTGTTACCAACGTTTTCTCTTGTTGTCGCTTTTATATTCATGTTCGTGGGGAAGCTTGAAATGTTTCTCCTATAGATTTTCCTTTGACATCAAAACGCTTTCCTCTTTTGCATCGCGTGTTCTGTTTTATTGTTTTATTTTATTTTTAAAGCACACATAGATCACATCACTCTGCTGTTGGTCACACCTTCGTAGCATGGCACCTCGGGACTGGTAGGCGCGCAACGGTTGAAGTTCGTTCGTGGTCGTCAACCCGTCAGCGTCAAATTGGGTGTATAAGTGCAAGTGAAAAGGAAAGGAAAGATGTCCAGCAACAAGGAAAATGAAAAAAAATCGAGAGGTGAAAGATTCGCCCTCGTATTTTATACTGAAGAGAAAAAAACTGGTATCGTAAAAGCAGAGGCCAAGATCAGGAAAAGAAAAATTGGCACAATAGTTCGGGTAGGTTACCCAGAAAACTGGACGGGACCCAGGGAACCAAACGCTCAATTCGACGCCAAAGTCATAAAATTTGGTTGTAAGTATAAAGCTTTTCTGTTCTTGGTGCACCACAGCCAAAAGTACTGTTTCACTAATTATAATTAGCTCATTATTTTCAATTGACTTTTTAGATGATGTGGAATTCCTGGACAATATTCCCGTTAATGTAAATGGGAAAGAAATCACTAACAAATGTGGGGGAAATGGAGACGACGCAGCTAAAGCACAGAGGAAGGTGCAAGATAAAGCCGAGTCATTGGCTAAAAAGCAATCAACCTCTGCATTAAACGAACAAATTCGCAACCGTATATCTCAACAGGTAATTTTGCACTATGTGCTCCTTTTCACATATTCTGATGATTTTGTTTAAGTGGTGTCTTGTAACAATGTTAATCATAATATCAACAGGGTGGAACTTCGAATAGTTCTTTTGGAGGTGGTGGTGCGTCAGTAATTCAGCCAAGTACTTCTACAAAT